ATTAAAGGAGGTGAAGTGCTTGGATACTGGGGGGGGGGGTGTCATAAAACTGCCTACAATAATGTATCCCATCAGTCTTTTGTCCAACACTCTACCACCTTAACCCCAGTCTTAGCTTGTTGCTGAACGTTGAAGTGTTTAATCTAAACAGATGAGATCTTGCAAGTAGCACCATATCATCCCTTCAAAATTGTAGCTTGGTCTGTGTAAAAACACATCCTGGAACACCGAGAAGCATTCAGACGGGACAAAGTCCGGCCTGTATATGCTCAAGTTAATCATAAGAACAGGGGGGATTGACGAAGCAGGTTACAAAGGTTATTTCTTTTGTTTTCACCACTCCTAGTGCGAGTGGTCCATGGGATGACCTTCATCTTACACGTGAGGAAGGTGAGATGCAGGAGATGAAGTCGCAGAGCCCTGGAGGAAATGGTCTCAGAAGCTAGGACTAAAACTTGAGTTTCTGGCTCTGACTCCAGTGCTGTATGCCTATTTGCTGACCCAAATCCCCTTGTGAGTCTGGCGTCTCCAAACTCTGCTTAGCACATCCCGCAGGCAGCTGGTGGGAAGGATCGCATCAGTGCTCCCTTGTTCCCTGTCACTCTTCCATTGTTCCAGCTTCTGAAGAGGAGCGAGTTAAGCCATGTGATTCTGGGGTGTGGAGCTGTTAGGAAACGGTAATTGAAACCTCCGCTGAGCTTGGCATTGGTGGTGTTAGCTCCTGCAGTCAGCTGTTTTCAATAGGAATTCATTAACTCCTGAATTCCCTTCTTTCCATGGAGGCTTTGGGTACGCAATTCTATTAATTTAAATGGGAATATATATTTGCTATGGAAATCTCTTCTTCCTATGGGGTTTTTGGTCAGACCTAACGTTGTGGAGTTGCAGTGATTTATACCAGCTGAGGCTTTGGCCTCAGATTTCAGTGGGATGGATCTGCTATTGCAAAACCTCTCTCAGTGGCCAGCTGGCACCTTTCTTCCCTGCCCAAGGAAATTCACTTCACCGAGCCGTGTGCATATTCGGTATCGATACCAAGGCCCAGTCATACAGAAGCTAATCACTCTCACAGCTCAGACACGTCAGATTCTGCATTCGTTTATGGCCAGGCACCCCTCTTCATTGAAATCAGTCGGTTATACAGATGTGTCTGAGAGCAGAATTTGGTGCAATGGCTTTTAGGTTGTTAGCTGCACAATGAGGTTGATCAAATGATTAGTAGCAGCTACGATGTCTTGTTTAACTGAGGAAGGAAAGGCAGATTATTTTGCAAGTAAAACATGCCTTTGAAACGGAGCCTAAACATCAGTGCAGACACACAACGCGCATCCTGCAGAGTGATTTACCCAGAATTTCACCCTGGAGTAAAATGGCTCTGTAGCAAGGCAAGGACGCACAAGCCGCTCCCAACCTGCCTGCCGCCTGCATGTGCCATGCCAGTGCCTGACCACCGAGTGACAGGGAAATCAGTTTGCATTGAGCAAAAGACTGCCTTGGTGTGACGTCACCAACGAGAGCAGACACCCGGCCAGTACGCTGGTGCAACTTATACTGGTGTATAGTCACTCCTCACTTGCTGAGGGTTGACTTCACCCCACCATGGGGTGACTTAAACTAATCTAAGGCATTATGTGCCTGCTCCACTTCTCCTCTGGAGTAGTGGGTTGGCTCCAAGGTAGTCTTGTGTGTCCGCACCCGCTGTCAGAAGGCAACCGCTGGGAGCCTCATCACTTAATGCTGCAGGACTGGGTGAAGGGAAGCAAAAAGACAGTCTCTGTCTCTACCATTCTCCATGGGCACAACTCCTTCCCTCCTTCTTCTGCACCGGGAACAAGCCTGAGGCACTGAAGACCCTGCCCTTGAGCATCCCCATCAGTCCTACCCCAATTCCCCCATCCAGTGGGCGCAGGGATTATATTTGCAATGCCCTGCTGCCTCAGACTGCATGATCAGTCTTGCCTGCACTGGGCTATTTGGCCAATTATTTCTCACAATTATTGCCACTGGGGCTAGCAGCACTGGATGCCCTTCTGTGGACAAGATGTCAATGATCACCTTAACCCATCATGTTGAGAAGACCTGCTCCAGCACGTGTTTAAACAGTGTGGTCATTCAAATACCGTCAGCTCCCTGAAGCCCTTAAACTCCCAAATGTTACTAGGAGAAATTAAAAGCCAGTAACAGCAGTGAAAAGTTTGGGTAGGAAAAGCCCAGCGAGACCAGCTCTACAGACTGCTGTTCCAGGTATCCGTAGGGTTATTTGGTTCCCAGATCTAGATATAAGCCATGCTATAGTTGTACTGGGCTACAGCTGGCTTGGCAAACAGCTACAAGCACTGTTACTACAGATGTTGCAGACTAGACTGGATCCAAAAGGCCAGAATGAACTATCGGCCTCTTCTTTCTTCGGCTTCTGCCACCGCTTAAAGCTGCTCCTCTTCTCAATCCTGTTGTCCTATCGATATGGTCGTTGAAAATTGAAAACCCAGGAGGAAATAATCACTAGCATAAGACAGATGGAGAAGGTGATGGGTTTCTAGCTAGACTGCAATATCCCCTCCTGTCTCCAGTACTGGAGGCCTGGATGTGGTAACCCCAGAGATCATTTTCCAGCCCCATGTCCCTACTTTACAGTGCTGTAGCTATATGAGTGTATTCCAAGTTTCTGACAAGGATAAATCATTCCTTGGCCACTTACTGAATCAATCCAACTACCACTGTGTTTAAAAAAATCCGCTGAAGAGCTTGTTCAGGGCTATTTTTCTTAATAAACAAAGTCTATTTTTGTTGCTGGAATAATTTTCTTCCTGGAGGACAATACTGTCATTCTCAAAAAGCTCAGAAAAACCTGCCTTGCATCAGAGACTTTATCACAGTTGTATTTCTAAGAATCTGCTGTGGGAATCGTTAACATTTTTGTTAATATTCAGCACACAATACAATTTTGTCTTCTGGCACATAGCGAGAAATAATTAAAACAATGCCCGGGTTTGGCTGTCGAGCCACTGGAGGAAATTATGCTAGCAGTTAGTCTTAATTCTGACGCAGTCTGCTTCCTCCTGGCACACAGTGCAGCCTAGATGTCACCGTGTTGTCCTAGTGCATACCTCCCCGACACTGGCATCAGTGCTGACAGACCAGTCTAGTTTAAATTCCTAGCTAAGCGAGGTGCTGAGCAAGCAAACAGCATGCCTGATACCAAGTACGGTAAATATGCAGGCTCACACCTCCAGGCTTTGGGCTGTTTCTAGAGACCAAGCTGAGAGTCACCGTGGAGTCAAGTTATCCTAGGTCTGCCCGCCATGGGGTTCTTGCCCTTCCCTATGACTCCTCTGTTTTTAGCCATGGTAGGCCAAGGGACCCCACTAGGGATTACTGCTCCCAACCCGTCCGGCGGATCCTGTGTCCAACTAGGCCTCCTTAAAAATGCTATCCAGGCAGCATGATGGAAGGAGGGTGCTCTTGGTAAGCCCATTTCCATTTGGATCATGTCCCCACAACACAGATCTCTGAATGCTTGTCTCATGCTTGGTTTCAGCTCTTCCTTTTCCACCTGCACACCGTCCCCGGGGTCAACTTCACCCAATGCGTGACCCACGGGAGCTTCCGGGAACACTGGGAAGAAACCGCCTACAACATGTTCACCTTCACCACCCTCTACGTCACCCCGCTGAGCGTCATCATCGTGTGCTACATCCGCATCATATGGGAAATCAGCAAGCAGCTGAAGATCAATAAGGGTGAGCGGGGGGCATTTACCTAGCGTTCAGCACTCCTCCCCAGGTTCCTATGGGCACCCTTAACGCTGTCATTTCCACTGCCCAAGCCTTCAGATGTCACAGAATTAGCTTGTCTAATTAACCTAATTGCCTGACATCTCTGAGGCTGTACAAGGCTCAGCAACCACGTTACGGGGAACGTGACGGAAAATGGCAAACGTCAGGGGAGCCCTTTGTAATCTAGTGCTGGGGGATGGGATATGGTACAGGAGATAAAGAAGAGGGCTTAGACCATAAAACATCTCGCTCCTCCGGCTTGGACCACGGGGCAAGGGTGTGAGGCAGGCAGCCCCCGGGCCTGCAGAGATATGGGAAGTCTGCACAAGGGGATGAGAAAAGACAGCATCTTCATAACTGTTCCTGGCTGTGTATGGCCAGGCTATAATGTATGATGAGTAATATGGATCTGCTAAATTAATGCATTTTGCATGAAATCCAGGCTTGTCTGCAAAATCAGACAAAAAAAACTTAATAAAAATAAAATGCCGGCTCTGCAGTGGGAGCCAGCGGTCCTCACTGCCAGGAGGGGAAGGTGCTGGATGGTGGGGCGAAACGAAGGGCAGCCAGCAATCAAAACAGCAGCCGCCCCCTTGTCCCTCACTCTGCCCCCCCCCCGCTTCCCTACCAATCAGCGTGGAGGGGTGGGGCCTATCTGCCAATCAGCGCCAAGGGGTGGGGCTGCATAAAATACCTGTGAAATCGGCTCCGTGCGGCACGAGTGGGACACAAAAATCCCTTTGTCTTGCCATGATTTAAATAGGTCCCTACTGATGAAGGGTGCTGGTCTTGCGGGCTGCCACCTGGTTCTGTCCATCCCAGGGAGAGGCCCCCTGAAGTGCTTGGAGGGGCAATCCGCCCAGATGGGGAGGGCCAGAGCTGAGCTGAAGGGAACAGCTGTCCTGAATTTTCCAGGACTGGCCTGAATGGTGGGGCTGTCCTCCATGTCCTACAAGAGGCCGTTCCACATCCCCCTTCCCGCCTTGACCTTCAAGTGGCACCAGGCAACAAGAGGTCCACCGTGCTTCTTCCCGCAAGCACGCAGCTCTGTTGGGATCAGAGCCATTGCCTTGCAGCCCAGCTCTGATGCAAGCACGGCTGTGAATGTTGGTCTCTTCTTGGTTTTCTGCATATATAAATACTCCATTGACTCCTCCTGGCAGGTCTGGCAAGAAGCAAAGACGACCACATCTCCAAGGCACGAATGAAGACTCTCAAGATGACCATTGTGATCGTTGCCACCTTCATTATCTGCTGGACCCCTTATTACCTCCTGGGCTTGTGGTACTGGTTTCAGCCAGACATGATTCAGAGGATGCCAGAGTACATCAACCACAGCCTCTTCCTCTTCGGCTTGCTGCACACATGCACCGACCCCGTGATCTACGGGCTCTATACCCCTTCCTTCCGGGAGGACATGAAGATGTGTCTGAGAGGAATTGAAACTGTGTTCACTGGGCAGGAGAGGCACAAGCCCATCTCGAGCTCTGAGGTGAATGTCAAAGACTACGTTGCAAATGGTGGCGCAGCTTCGGGTGGGTCCAACGGGACGACTGTCCACACGGTTTGCTAAGGGGAATCATCCCAGAGGAGGAAAGGAACTGAGGGTGTTGCATTGTGGAGATGGCCACGGACACTCGTTTTCCACCCTGCAATAGTTGCCCGTGTGTTATCGAGTCCTTTGCATCTCCCGAACTCAGTCAGGATGGACCACACACAGGTAGCACACCTGCTACTTTTACAGATATGGTGTAACCCCCTGGCTTTGTAAGTGCAATCACAGGTACCCTCATGTTCTGGGTCTGGTTACCAAGCGCGCCCAGGATGACCCAAGGTGTTTGGAGAGGCCTGTGTCCTGCTCATCCAGCGGTTGTGCAGAGGCTGGGAACGCTTTTGTACCCTGGGTGTTTCATAGAGGCTGTTTCCTCCCTGACCTTTTCATGCTGCTCTGGGGCCAGGTGAGATTGAGAAGCCGTTGCAGCGATTCTAGGATCGGGCATCTGCCAACAGCTGCTTTTCTGGAGGACATCTAGTAGCTTCTGAAAACTGTAGAGGAAGGGCTTGGTTTTCCAGGCAGCAGCTTTTCCTTCGAGTCCTGCTGGGTTATGCCTGTGATTCAAGTTACTCAGTAGTGCAGGTCTTTGCAGAATCAGGCTGTAATTCTCATGGGTCTGATTGTCCAGACCAAAATGGGACGGGACATTTAAGGTTTTTTTCCCTCATCTCCCCACGCAGCCTCCTCCCCAGCTCCACAGACTCAAACTCACCTGCTGCTACGTCCATCCAGTGTTAAACATGCATAAATGTTACCTGGCGGTGACCACCGTTCTCTGACTCTTTCGTTCCCTGGGAAGTGCCGTAACTGGGCAGCTCGCTTTGGAAATGTGTGGTGCAAATAAATCGTCCCTGGTTGGTTTGTGGGAAGGCCTTTCCAGTATTTGTGCAGTGCACCTGTGCCCCTCAGAGACACTTGCTTTGGGCTGGCCTGACTCGAAAGCAAAGGTAGCGATCTGAGGATTGTCGAGACTTATGGTTTTCTGTCCAGGCAGGGCAGGGGAACATCCTTTCTCCCTATCCCTCCTCCAGGATGGGGCCAAATGAAATCTTAGCATGCCTTCAGTTTCTGTGCTCTAACTTTCAGCCACAGCTACCCGGCTTGTATCGGTGGTGCCTTGTTTCAGGGTAGTCTCCCACCAGCCAGCGCCAGGACCGGTGCCCAAAGCATAGCTAAGCAGGAATAATCACATCAGTTTAGGACAATAAGAGCCATATTCTAGTCTGACATTTGGACATCCATGCTTGGCTTTCTTTTGTCCACACTCAGGATGCAGAGATTCAGACTAAAAGCATGGGGCCCCAGACTGCAATCCTTACGCAGGCAAAATTGCCGCTGGCAAAGGCAAAGGAGTCAGTAGGGATGGACATGACTTTGCTGAAAGGGGTGCAAGCTGGGACCCTAATATTGCAATCACACTGCAAGGCCCTGGGAGCACTGACAGACCACTCCATCTCCTTCTGCCCAGGAGCATAATGGTCCAAACCCCAGGCTCCTTAATCCCATGTCATCTGCCCTTCCTTGAGTTCTCATTGGCCTTGGTTCCCAGCAGAGGAAGGCCCTTGGGATGGCATCAGCCAAGTTCCTGCACCCTGCTCGTGCGAAGTCACTTCTAACTTTGCACTTTTCACACCCAGAGGGTTCAAACAGAGGGAAGATGATCAGACTGTTCCACTTCTCATACAGCAGCATCCCCCACCCAGGAAAATCCAGTCACGCAGGATCTGCAGAAGCTTGGCAAACAGGAGGGAAGCAGAGGGGAAAGTACATGTCTCTGAAAATACAATGGGTGAAGAAGTCTTTTGGAGTCTGATTCCCCTCTGGAAAATGCAGGTGAGGTGAATGGTAACACTGTACTTGTACCTGCCTCCAGTGACCTCTGCAACCACTCCCCGGCCTACACTCCTCCGAGGCAGAAGGGTAAACTGAGTCCCAACCCATTTGCCAGTGACAACCCCAAGGGTGAGAACTAGGTCTGTTCACCATTAGAGCCTCACTTAAACCAAGGGGATAGAGAGGGGAAAGGTGCGGTAATAGGTAAAAGGAACAGAATAATAGCTGTGCTAAAAAGGAAGGAAAAAACCCAGTAAAAAAGTTGAGAAATGGGAGAGGAGAAATGGAAGGAAAAACAGAATTGCCTGCAATTCCCAAGCTGGTAAATGCTGTTGTGGTTGTGTTACTTGTGCAGGGACTTGCTGTTGTGGTTCAGTGGTAGACTCCTCACCTGTCACGTGGGAGGCCTGGGTTCGATTCCTGGATGCACATGTAAGTGCAGCCATCAAGGCACTGAACATCTGGACTGGGTCTGGCCTTTGGATTTTGTCTCAGTGCCCTAAAGCAGGGATGGACGGTCTGGGCAGCCTCTGCTCCTCCATACTCCGACCTAGGTGTAGCACGCATCAAAGGTCCTGGTGACCTCTTGTGCACACACCACGATCCAGAAAGAGCGACGGTTGCCAACTACACATTGAGAGAGGCCCTTTCTCAAAGCACCGTGTGGGCTCACAGCTGTGCAAGGTAATGAGACTCCACCTGAGCACGTGGCACGACCGTTTTATGAGCCAGGAAAACTCAAAGAGAAACCCACCAGATTAGACCAAACAAAAAGGCCCACGGATGCCCCCCAAGGCCTGTGCTGAGATCAGGTCTGGGGCAGGGGTGGGAAGCAACAGATCTATTGCCCTGATTGTAAGACAAATCCTGACAAGGCCAAACCAGAAGCATGGAGCTGATGACCTGGCCACCTCCAGCAGCTTCAGCTGTCTCCCCAACACCGCCTGGACTAGGAGACTCGGGTCCTTCCTGCCTCCAGCTCCCTTCCACCCTCTTTTCATTCCCCACCTTATTTCTCTTCTTCGCTAGCTCTCTTTATTTCTTTCTGCTTAATCCCATCTTCTGCAGCACCACTGTGAGCCTGTGACCAAAAAGGTTCACCACCCAGAAGCAGGGTCTGAAACAGCTGGGCACTGCTGCGAGCGTGCCAGGCCCCAGCAGCTGCAGGAACAGCGTGTGGTCTTGTCTGTAACTCCGAGGCAGCAAGTCAGTCTTCAAAACCACAGATGCTGCTTCTCTCTCCGTTGATTTTTCTTCCCCCTCTCCTCATTGTGTTGTATCTTTTGTCCTCAGGAGAACGGGATTGTATTCAAACCACAGCAGCTCCCGCCAGCCTACATGAGTATGTTCTCTTCCCCCTGAAAGCTAGTTAACGCCGCCTGTGATACTCTGTGCAGGACTGCCAAACAGGTGTTACCTTATGAAACTCTCCTCAGCTAAAGGGAAAGGGAACAGGAGAATGGTATAATCATAAAAGCCTTACTTAAATGCTTTGCATTTCAAAGCTTTTTGGTTTTATTTTCCCTTTTTGCTCTGATTTTAATAAAAGATTTTTTTTCTTAAATGTTCAGTGGTGAGTGTTTATTACAGAACTAAGCAAAGCCAAGGTCTCCGTCCTTGAAACCTCAGCCTTGCTTGACTCATTAGCAATCAGCCTAACACCTGACTCTTGGGCTCATTTATCTCATTAAAATTAGCACAATAGGAGTCACCTGGTGCCCAAAAGGACCTGCATTAACCCATTGCATATGCTGAGAGCTCAGGTGGCTGCTGTGTTTTGGTAGCAGGGGAGTTGTTCAGTATTAGAAATACGTTCACAAGGTCCTTAGTTGTATCTGGTGTGATCTGGGGACTGTTAGCCCGCACAGCCACCTGAAGTGGGAAGGACGTGGAGATCTGAGAGAGTTTCTGAACAAGCCGATCCTGACTGAGTCTGTCCTAGCAGAGATCTGATTGCTGCTCCAGGGAACAGAAAGATGGAGTCAGGTTAAGACTGTACTGAAGGGAAGAGCTGCACCTGACGGGTTGCAACACGGTGAGTAGCAACGGCTAGAAGTAATTTTTTGTTTGTTTTACAGTAATTACCCAGGTCTTGAACAGCTTCCCCCTCCTGAATTACTCTGTGAACCCACAACCTCATACACTGAAAATATTGAAAAATAAAACGCTAGTGTGGGCTTATTGAACTATTTCACTTTAGAAATGGCTTGCGGGCCATTTGTCGTGTTGTTGCGGGTGGGCTGGCGAGAGCTTGTGTCACAGCCCTGGCTGCTCCCCGTGCTGATCTCGGAGCAGCGCTGCACTTCCTGCACAAGGCGCTGTACAATGGAGAGTCTCAGTTGCTGCTGCAGGAGCCCTCTGGCTCATATGAGTTTGTCTGAGCCTGTTCGAAGTTCTCCCAAACTCCAGTGCAATGCATGATTAATGCTCTGCTTTCCTGGGCTTATTCTTTTAAAGGCTGATTACACAAAGCTAATGGGGAGCATCACTAACTACCACAGGCTGGCTTGCCTTGAGCCATGCAAATGAGAATTTCTCAGAGGTGATGGGAGCAATTTGTGGCATGAGGGTGATAACTTCTTCGTTGGACTCTCCTGTCCTCCAGCTGTTTTAATCACTTATGGTACATCATAGGAGAGAAGCTGTTATGGTCTGTAGGTTTTCTGACAAGCCTCCAAGAGGCGCAGGTTGCCTTTATCTCCTGTGGTGACTCCCTGCCCACTTGCTAGGAGGTGTGAAGAATGCAAATTATGCATTGGACTGATTCTGTCCACTTTTGAGCTCTGAAACGCCTCTCTGGGCAATTTCCCTCGGGATGCAGGGGGTTGTGGACTTCGGGTAGTGTCGAGGGGTGCAAACTTCATGCCAAGGAGGGGAACAGGGATTCCCCTCCTCAGCCTCTCCTTGCTGAATAGCTCCCCTCTTCCCTACTTCCCTTTCTTCTCTTTTGAGGGGCATGACATGGACTGGAAGTGTGCAAGAACTTCCCAACAGTTCCTTGGGGGTCACTGGCTGCCTCGGGCAGTTGAACTGCTGGCTGGATTGGCCTCTGCTTTTGGTCAGCCTTGTCTTCATCCCCCTGGGACTGGCTTTGTCCCCCCACAAAGCCCCACAGAGCCAGGATGGGGCTGTGTGGGAGGGGAAGGATCCTGGTGGAAACCCTCTTTTGCCTTCTGTCCTTGTGAGCTGAGCTTTCCTCGCAGCTCTGGCTTGACATGGGGCACTGAAGGGCTCCAGGGCTCAGGGCTGAGTTGCATTTTCAGGGGTCTCAGCATAAGAGAGTCTGGTGCCGACACTGCTGGGTTTTTTAATATATCTGGGAAGAATAAGCCCCCATAACTTGGCTTTTAGCTACCAAGGCTAGCTCACAGTAGACTGGATCTGATCAGACCCCGGTGGAAGGCACCAGCCTTGTTCCTGATGTTCAAAGCTTGGCTTGGTGAGAGGTCAGCCAGCTTTAAGACTAAAAGGACTTGCTCTCGTTCCAGCCGTGTCTGTGTGCATGGCCCCTACCCTGCAAGCGTGCTCCCTCTGGCTCTCTCATTCCTTTTGGGCTGCTATTTTAGGGCGGGCTGGTTGTCAGGACTGTGTGACAAACCATAGGCTGGTAGGAGAGCTTGTCCTTCACCACCTGCAGACAAAAGCGACAGACAGCTATTTATGCGCAGAGCAAGCTGCTAAGTGATTTCTGCCACAGGAAAGCTAATGCACTGCTGGATTTGTCTGGAAATGTTGGTGCGAGAGCAGCAAAGGTTGGGGCTTTACTGCCAATTGGCTCTTGATTGTTTGACGGTGTTGCCGAATAACTACATAAGGTGCAAACGTTGCAACCTGGCGGGCTGGGAGAACAGAGCAGAGCCGCCCAGGAGGCTACAAGGAGTGAAATAGGGAGACTTGCAGTGGCTCAAATGCAAGTCCAGTCAGTAGCTAGTGATTTAAGAGTTGATGCTCTCCGTCTGCCTGATGGCCAGTTATCTACATTATAATGGCTGCATCTCTTCCCTTCTTGCTGTTTTGTGTTTCTTTTTGGTCCATCTCCCTAACACGCAGTCACGCTTGCTCTGCAACACTGGGACTTTTCCTGGAGGACTTGGTACAAAGCCAGCATTAATAAAAGTGTGTGGGAGATGAAGCAATTCATAGCTCAGAATGAAAAGTGCCTGCAAGAGTCATCAGTCTCTTCCATCATCTCCACCGAAATGTGTGTGTGTGTGTGTGTGTGTGTGTGTCCGATTTTTACTGGGAATTGAGACAAGCGAGTGTGCTAGACCCCATCAAATGATGTGAGCTGGGGCTTCCATAAACTCTGAGGATTATATCTGGGTAGTGATTTTTTTTTTTTTTTCTTCCACTGAAGAAGAGGCATATGCCAGATTGCTCTTCTAGTCAATAGCTTGTCATCAGAAATGGTTTACTGTGCATTAACCTGTCAGCGTCTCAATCTGTCTGCTGTCTTCCCTGCCTTACATTTCCATCACTGTATCCCTAGACTCGGTCTGTTCTACTGAAGGGGAATTCTTGTTTCACGCCCTCCTTCTAAGCTTAGCTTTTGCTTTATTCTGCTGCTAACATTACAAATCTTCTGGAGGTTTTTTTTTTTTTTTATCTTGACAAGTCCTTCCAACAGACAGCACTACTGGTAAATCTCCTGTGTTTCCCATTCGTTTCAAAGCTTGAGCTACTAAGACAACCAGTTAAAGTATAAGGCCAATATGCTGGGAGAGACTTAGTGGGTTCAGAGTCCTTCCAGTGACTTCAGCGGGCTTGAATCTGGCCCTTAACTGCAAAAAAAAAAATGTTCACTGGAAGGCTGTAGAGTTATGTCCTTCATTAATATAATTCTCCATTTCCCTGCTGCTTCTAATTAGGAAGCAAATAATGGCCACCAAGCTTCACTGTGAACTCTGCTTTACAACAAAATACTGAGGTTAAAAAAAAAAAGGTGGGGGGGAAGGTAATAAAAGTCTGTTAGGAGTTAATGATAGTAAGGTAATAATTTCCACTAAAAGGCTGCTCCTTGGCACAACTGTCTTCCATCTGCACAGCCAAGAAGATGCACCTACAATGCAGATAATTTTGACCTTAGCCATCATGCATAGGTTAGGTGGGCAGTGCTGGAAAAGGGAGGAGTTACGGTGTAGTGGACTGGCCCCGACTGGTGACCTGGGCTGTGTCGCTTGGTTTGCTGGGTGATGCTGGGCAAGTCACTTCACCGCTCTTTTGTGCCTTTCTTATCTATAAAATGAGGATAACAGTACTAACCTCCTTGGTTAGTAGCTCTGAGACCTGTAGGTGAGAAGGGCTGTCCGAGACCAAGGGATTGGCATTAGTAATATCAGTCCCAGTTGTGTTCAGCTGGAGACCTTAGGTGAGATCTTGGCCCTAGGGCAAAACTCCTGTTAACCTCAGCATGGCCAGCATGTTCATAGATTTCATAGACATTTGGGCTGGAAGGGACCCTGGAGGATCATTGAGTCCAGCCCCCTGCCCCAGGGGCAGGAAGTCAGCAGGGATCATAGGATCCCAGCAAGATAAGCATCCAGATGTGTTTTGAAGGTGTTCAAAGTAGGCACTTGAACCGCCTCCGATGGCAGGCTGTTCCAAACCTTGGGGGCTCGGACAGTGAAGAAGTTCTTTCTTATGTCCAGCCTGAATCGGTCACAGTGGAGTTTGTGACCATTTGATCTTGTCATCCCTTGGGGTGCTCTGGTGAACAGTCGTTCCCCCAGATACTGGTGAACACCCCTGATAAACTTATAGGTGGCCACCAGATCACCCCTGAGCCTGCGCTTTTCCAGGCTAAAGAGCCCCATGGCTCTCAGCCTGTCGTCGTAAGGTCTGCTTTCCTGACCTCTGATCATGCGCATGGCTCTTCTCTGCACTCTCTCGAGCTTCTCCACATCCTTTTTGAATTGCGGAGCCCAAAACTGGACGCAGTACTCCAGCCGCGGCCTCACCAAGGCTGAGTACCAGGGGAGAATGACGTCCCGGGATCTGCTTGAGAAGCATCTATGGATGCAAGCCAGCGTTTTGCTTGCTTTACTAGCTGCAGCATCACATTGAAGGCTCATGTTCATCTTGTGGTCAGTGATGACCCCCAAGTCCCTTTCATCTGTAGCGCTGACCAGCATAGCACCACCAAGCCTATAAAGATGCTGCAGGTTTTTCCTCCCAAGGTGGAGAGCCTTGCATTTTTCAGTGTTGAACACCATCAGGTTCTCGTCTGCTCATTTCTTGAGCCTGTCCAGGTCAGCCTGGATCACCCTCCTGTCCTCGGGTGTGGATGTTTTGCCCCAGAATTTGGTGTCATTGGTGAACTTGGCCAGTCCGCTTCTGACTCCACCGACCACATCACTGATGTAGATGTTAAACAGTACAGGCCCTAGGACAGAGCCTTGGGGACCCCACTGGTCACAGCGCACCAAGACGTTTGACTCCCGTTGCGGTAGGACCCAGAGGGTGGTGGTCAGAGCCAGTTCCCTAGCCAAAAAGCGGAGCCGATTGCTGACCAGGAACAATTATTCTCCACTATTCAGATCCAGCCCTTCAATCATGGCTC